CCCGGGGAAGGTCACCGGCCCCCGGCGTCCCGCCCGAGGCCGCAAGGTCACCGTGCGGAGCCGGGGGTCCCGCGGTGCCCCCTGCCCGGGGGGCAGAGCGGGCAGAGCGGGCCCGTCCGCCCCGCAGCACCGCGGACACGGGCACGGACACGGGCACGGGCTCGGACACGGGCCGGGCCGTTCATGGGGCACAGCACAGCGGGGTTTGGGCTGGAAGGGAGCCCCGGTCCCACTCCCTGCCTGGGCACGGACACCTTCCCACAATGCAGGCGGCTCCGAGCCCCGCAGTACCCAACAGGTTGTATTCCTTTAAACAGGAGTCTGCAGCCGTGGATGGAAATGTTGGGAAAATCTTTAATTGTAACAAATAATGGTTGGTGATAGGTAAAAAAACAAAACAAACAAACACCAAAACAAACAAAAACAACAACAAAACCAACAAAAATCACAACCAACACAAAACAAAAATTCCAACCAAACAAAGAAAGGATGTTCTTTAACGTTTGATCTTTGTCACTTTCAAGCCTAACCAACAGGAAAGGATATTTATATTTAATCCATGAAACACATAGTAGCTAACAAGCAAGCTGCAAGTGATGTCCATGTGCTAGAAAAGCAAAGTTTAGGGCTTGACATGATTCAGTGGTCTAAGACCTGGGGGAGGCAGTTAACATAGCTTGAGAGGAAGGATGTTACCGTTAATAATGGACACAAAGAGTGCAGAATTTATGGGCCACAAGGACGTTTGGCTGGACTCCCCAAGACAAGGAACTACTAACAAAACTGACTCAGTGATTGTGCTGAAATCAGCTCCAAATGGGTAGAAGGTAATTCTGGTAGGGGGGGGCTGTGGCCATCAACTCACAGACCACTGATGCTAGAAATCAACCAACCCAAAGGAGGAGAAAGACAATCCGCACGGGAAGTGGAGAATCATTAACCAATAGAGAATACTAATTAATAAGAGAACTACGTAATTTGTAGCCAATGCACACTAATTACTTTGGTTGCTAAAATGTATAAATTGTCAAAAGTTTTGATTGCCATACGTGTTAGGTGGAACAATCCCCCACGTGACCAGCACTGAATAATGTCAACTTTCTAACCAAACAAATTGATTGGAGAATTTATTTCCCATTTCTCTGTGTCACTGTCCAGTCTGGCCTTGAACACTTCCAAGAATGGGACAGCCACAGTTTCTCTGGCCAGCCTGTGCCAGGCCCTCCCCAGCCTGACAGGGAACAACTCCTTCCCAATGCCCCATCTAACCCTCTCCTCTGGCAGTGGGAAGCCATTCATTCCTCCTTGGCCTGGCACTCAGATCCTGATAATGATCCCCCCACCTACCTGCAGGGCCCCTGCAAGAACTGGGGTGTCCCTCTGAGCACTCCCCAGAGCTGTGGAAGAGCTCTGGGGGGGTGAGGTAGGAGCCAGTCCTGGGACAGAGACAGAGATGCTTCTGTTTTGTGCTGGAGGTCCTGCATTCTGGGGTAGGACAGCACCACCCTGCAGATTTCAGTCTCTTTATTAAGAAAAAGGCATATTACAACAACTTCTAAAGTACAGCTCCATTCTCTAGTCTCTGGGTGTTAACACATTCTGAAAAGCACTTGGTTAAAAAGCAAAGTTGACAAGAATATCATCCTGGCAAAAATGGTAGCATGTAGCAAAATGAACATTCAAATGAAGCAGAGCAGTGTCAAACCTTTGGCAACTGTCCCTCTGCGGCGGCGCTCCCCAGCACGAGGCACAGGCGTTTATTGTTCTCACTGAGCTCCACAGACTCAGCCAAGGACAATATTTTTGCTGCAACGAAACCACAGCTGCTCTGGGACCAGGGGAGCTGAGACCAGAAGAGCTGTTCTCCCCATCTCTCTGCCTGAGCCCTCCCAGGGGTCCCAGCACAGCTCTGGCCAGGCAGAGGTGACGTCCCCACCCCACCAGGGTGACAGTGACCTTGAAACACACAGACAGGGCTCGTCCTTGTGGGCCGAGGGGGTGCAGCTCAGGGCTGTGCCCACAGCCTCTCCTGATTGAGACGTGCAAAGATTTGGGGCATTCCCAGGGCTTGGTAGTCTAATTCCTGCGATAATTGCAACAACAGGAAAGGGGAGCTTTCTTGGAAGCTGCAAGATGACTGAAATCTATTGGGAAGAGCCAGGAGGCATAACCACACCCTGGCCAGGGAGGACCAGGCACCGTTTGGGTGTGGGTTGGGTGCATCTCTCACACACCCTGGCAGCTTCACCCCCTGTTCCTGCCCAAAGGTGCGAGGAGAGGGAGGGTGACACGAAGGGATCGGATGTGGTGGCAGTACCGAGTGCCACCCTCCGTGTCCTGCCATGGGGTTGGGACAGCAGTGTCCTGCCGGCCAGAGCTGGCCAGGAGGACACAGAGGCAGAAATGGGGCCCTGGGGAGCAAAGGGCAGCTCTGATGGTGCTTTGATCCTTGTGCTTTAACTGGCCGTGGTGTCTGGTGCTCCTCCGCAGCTGCTGGGCCCATCGATCCTGAGCTCCTCCTGCTCACCCAGCCGGCACTGCTGATCTTATGCACAGATCTCAGATGCCTGCATGAGGCAACCCAGAGGCGTAAGGGAGTTCTCTGCCGTCCTGCTGGCAGCCAGGCGCCGGCAGTGCAAGAGGGTGACAAGAACAGGCGTGCAGCGAGGCGGCTGCGGCGTCACTACAGCCAGACTGGCTCAGCAGGGCTGCGGGGACACCAGGGCTGCTGTCTGGGAAAGGCAGGCTGGTGTGGCTTCATTGGGGCAGCAGGAGCCAGTTCACCAGGCTGGACACAAAGACTCTGAAAGGTTCACCTAACCCCCAACAATGGAAGTCCCTTGTTGTGCTGCTGATTTACCTTCCTAGTGTGCAGAGCTTGGGGAGAACTTGGGAAAAGCAGAGCAATCCCTTCACACTGCTGGCTCCAGCCACTTCAGGCAGGATGTTTCTTGCTGTGCCACTGCCATCTCTCCTGGGCACTGAGCAAAGAGCACCCCTCAGTCCCTCCAGAGCACCCATCAGCTGGGCATGAACCTGGCTTGGCCTGCCATAAGGCAATTCACAGAAAGCTTCCTTTCCTGGGCCTGGCCCAGGTCAGACTGTCTCAGCACAGAGCCATGCAGCAGTGGGAAGGCTGGGAGCCTAGTGGGGATGGGAAGGACACAGCTGGGAGTGCTTAGATTAGCCCCAGCAAACACATTCAGAAAATATGGCTTTTTAGTTAACAGGGTCAAGAAGAAGAACTTCCTGACTAATCTGCCAGGGTTAAATAAGTCCAGGGAAGCGTGCTCCCCATTGCAGGACTGGCTCTGCCACAGCAAGTGCAGCGGGTGCATCTTCCCCCATCCACTGCTCACCTCACACCAGCTGCAAGGTGCATTTCAGACATCCCTATCTCAGAAGATAGCATTAGGAAAAATAATGATGATAATAATAATAAGGAAAAGAGATATTAGCAAACCAACACATCAAATCCATAAGCCTCTGCAGAGCTGCAGAGCGGAAGGGGGTGCAGAGGAGAGGAGCCCGGCTGTTGGTCTGTAGACAGCTCTCAGCACGTGGTGGTTCACACACACAGGACGTTCAACAACCGAGCGTTATTGCTATGCTTCCATTTCCAGTGTAATCATTAAGCTTTACAGCCCCAAGCCCTGTCCGTTCCGTCGCTGTGCTCCTCAGTCTGTGCTTCCAGGAGCGCGGCGCAGGCCGGAGCTGTGCGCGCCCTTTGGACTCCCGAGGAGTGCAGAGCACTGACTGACGCACCTACAGATCCCTGTGACACTTACAGGCTAAGGGGGGAGGCTACGAGAGCCCCCCACTCCAGGAGGGGAGGGCAGGCCCTGCCTGGGCCCCAGGGGCTCTCAGGCTCCCGGTGGCTCCAGCCGCCTTCTCAGTAAAAAATAGGAATACTGTCTTTTTGATTTTTTTTTTGATCATTTTGATCTCTTTGATCATTTTATATAAATACAAAGATTAAAATAATTTATCTCAACATTATTTCTATTACAATCATACAGTGTTTTCCCTTCAAAACAAGTGCATGTATGTGTGTGTGTATATATATATATATATAAGTGTATATATAGTATCTCTAGAGCTTCCCTCCCCCCTAAGAAAAGCAGCAGTGACTGAAGCAGGTACAGCACGCAAGAGCTGATCCTTCCTGCTCCAACGCAAATGTGCCCAAGGAAAAGTGCAGGGCTCACCCTGACGACTCGTCTCCGAGCACATTACATTGGCATGAAGGGGGGCGCAGGGTGCTGGCTCTCCCTCCCTTGGGGAGCCCCCCTGCCTGCCCGCCCGCGGGGCTGCAGACCCGCCCCGCTGGGCAGGAACCGGCCTGGGGCACTGCAATGAGATCAATCCTTGAGCAAGCTGCTAATTACTGCTGGAGAGGAAAGGCCCTGCAGCTCAGACGGGGCTGCTTCATTTACATACTAGGCACTACGGATGATGATTGCTAGGAAGGTATTTACATAGGAGAAGGATCATACTTCTCCCTCCTCTTTTCAATGCTCACTCATAAACACCATGATCTCATGAAGAAGTTTGTAATAAGGATGCAACATATAGGTGTGTCTATCAGGATTGTCTAGGAGGGTCAGGAAGGAGCTGTGCACACCCCAGCTGCAGCAACAGCCGAGCACACAGGGACAGGCATCGCCTCTTTCACCGCAGGACAGGGGAGACAAATCTGCAGTAGAACCTCTCAGAACCTGAGAGAAACAGCGATTTCCAGAGGCCAATACGGGCACAACACTCCCAGAACTGTGCCGCTGGAGCCCTGGGGCTGCTCCCCTCACAGATCTGCCCTCCGTGCCCCCGAGGGTGGGTGACAGCAGGGCCCCAGCACAGCCAGCTCACCCGGAGCGGGGCCTGGCAGAGCCTGCCTGGGTCACTGTGCGGAGGGAAACAGCAGGATGCACTCTGCAGCCTTGCCGGGGAGCGCAGGGCTTTCTCCCTCGTGTAATTGTTCCTCAGAGCCCAGCAGGGCTGCCCTGCACCTGCCCAAGCTGTGCGGGCGGCCTGGGCACGGGGAGCTCTGCAGGGACGGCCTGTGAGGGCCCTGCCGGGCTCCTGCAGCCTCCCGCGGCTGCTGCGGCCTGCGAGGAGAGCTGGGGGCTCCTGGGGCTCTGCACTGCCCGGGCAGCACATCCAGGTGCCTCGCGGGCTGCGAACATTTCCCACTGGAGCTTCCGTGCCCCAGGAGCTGCACACCTCGGCCTGGCTGCTGCCTGGGCACTGTGAGGGGAGCCCTGCCCAGCGTGGCTTTGCTGGGCTCTTTCCCAAACCCAGAGCCCACGGCTGTGTTCGGGACCATGGGAGCAGCTGGGGAGTCCCAACCCTCAGGTCGTGCCCTCCAAAGCCTGACTAGTCACACGACAGCCAAAGAAAAGGTACAAAAGCCACTAATTTCTGCCCTGCTAGTGCAGCTCATACGCTTTGGAGTTTGTTTTTACTAAAGAGCTGGTTGGCGACTGCTACTGTCAATCTCATAAAGCATTTTAATAGAGTATATAAATATTGGACTACAAAAATAGACAGCTCTGACTGCACGGGCACACTGAGGGTGAGTGCGGGCAGGCCAAGCCTCGCTAGTCTATGAGGGTGATGTCTTTCAAGAGGTTTCAAACTGAATTGGAAGGAAATGGGGTCGGATGTCACCCTGCAGCTCCCTCGTGCCCACAGCAGCCGCGGGGGCAGGGAGGTCCTGCGGGAGGCTGCTGCCCACGGGCCGGCAGGGCGCTGGCTGCAGGCAGGGCCGCTCCCGGCCGGCCAGCCAGGCTGGCAGCCACACGCCGGGGTGAAACCTGCCCCTGGAGCTGCCCTGAGCAGCAGGGTCCGGCAGCACCGCAGCAGAGTGACCTTCGCCCTGCCCGGCCGGCAGAGCCCTCCCCTACAACGGTGTTTCACGACACCCAGGGAGAGATTGTAAAGCTGACAGTTGGGTGGAAATGGGGCAAGGCTGCCCCGGCGGGGCGAAGGCAGCTGGGCATGGCCGCTGTGCTGGGAAGGACGGGCGGGAGGACCGGGCGCTGCTCAGCCCTCAGCAGCGAGCCCAGACCTGGCTGCGGATGAGACTGAGAACCACAATGCTGGTGCCGAGGGGAGCACGGGGTGCAGCCCTGCTCCAGCAGCACGTGGAGCCCGGCTGCAGGGCCCAGGAGCCACGGGGTGTCCAGCAGGACGGACAATCCCGGCACTTGTCCGGCTGCCTTGTCCGAGTCCTGCCTGCGACCGCGATGACGGGAATCCGTGGTGGAGACAGCCAAACTGCTGCACGGGGAGCGCGGGACAGGGCTGGCCAGCACAGCAGCGCTGTCCCTGTGGAAGGGCTTCCCTCCGTCACCCAGGGGATCCACCTCGTCCGGCTACCTGCGCTCTGGGGAGCCCTGCTGGTGCCGTGCCCGGTGCCGCGATGGCCGGGCTGGGCTCACACCGCGGTGCCGGGCCGTGTGCTGCACGGCCTGCTGCTGCTGTGCCCGCTCCCAGCACCCGGGCCAGGGAAACCAGCCTGGCGCCCACTCTGAGGGCAGCAGGAAAATCTCATTTCAAAAACGCTTCCTCTTCTTTCTCTCTTTCCTTTTCCCTCGCAAGCTCCGGACAGGCGCTCGGACGTGTCCCCCTCGCAGCCCGGGTGCTGGACGCTCCCCTGTGCCGCGGCACCGCCGGTGACATCCCCGGCTCAGAACTTTCGGGGATCCTCCCTGGCTGCCGGCGGGTAGGTGCGCGCAGGGCTCCGCTTTCGGCCGCCCCTTCCTCTCCAGCGGGGATGGGGAAGGAGCCTCGGCCGGCGCCGCCCGGTGCCGCCGGGCTCAGGCCGTTCGGGGCCGCGCCGTGCCCTCGCCGCTACTCCTGGGCCCGGGGAGCGCCGTGGGCACCGTGGGCACCGGAGCCCTGCCTCTTGCCGGGCTCGCCCTTGGCCGACCTGGCCCTAGCCGCCGGCTCCTGCCGGGGAGGCCGCTGGCCCCGGGAGGCCGCGGCGGCGCCGGCCGGGTTGCGGGGCGAGGCCGGGGGCTCCGGCGGCGGCGGCGGGCGCTGCGGGCCGTGCGGCCGCGGCGCGTACAGGAACAGCGCCGGGTCGGGCATGGCGTCGTGCTCCTCCTGCGCCGGGTCCCGGGGCCGGGCGCCGTCCCCGGGCGGGCGCCGGGCGGGCGCTCTGTGGCCGCGGCGGCGGGGCCGGGGCTCGGCCGGGGCCTGCTCGGGGGGCGGCCGCCCGCCGGCCCGGGGGCCCGGCAGCCGCTGGGCCGTGGCGTGCAGCTGCAGCGAGAGGTAGGCGGCCGCCTCCGTCTGCTTCTGCAGCTCCGTGTCGAGGATGGTGACGCGGTGGCTCCGGCGCTTCAGCTCCTCCAGGAACCGGCGCTCCTTGCTGCGGAGGCTGGAGCGCAGCGCGGCCACCAGCGTCTCCTTGTGCTGCAGCTCCTTGCGCAGCTCCAGGTTGTCCTTCTCCTTCTCCTGCAGCTGCGCCTCCATCGCCCGGCACTTCTCCTCCAGCTCGCGGTCCAGGACATCTGTGGGTCGGGGCACAGAGGGGTCAGGATGGGGAGAGGGGGCTCAGCCGCGCTGCTCCTGGCGGGACGTGCCTGCTGACCGCTCCGTGGTGCCAGCGTGTGCCAGCAGTGCCACTGAGGCTGCTTGGGTGCTTCTTAAAGTCGGGAAAAAACCCCCTGAGCTGCCCGAGCACGGGCTCACTGCCAGCACAGGCACAGCAACCCCGGCATGTGTAACACCCAAACGCGGGGTGACAGCAAAGGCAGTTTCAGTGGAGGATGTTGTTGCCATGGAACCTGCTGCTTCTACCTTGCTGCAATTTTAAAATTTCCCTAGGTAAGTAGCTTTTCACCCTAAAAGTGACTTTGAATGTGTGCAGAGGGTGTGGGGGAGCATACGGGCTGGAAGAGAAAAGGAAATGGTGCAGGGAAACCATCAGCCCAACTTTGGAGGACTTTTGGCCTCAAGCCCTGGGATTCCAGAGCCTGGTTAGTCAGGATGGAGATGCTAATCCACTATTACAGAGGAATTGGGCCGCGCTCAGCAGGGAAGGAGCCTCCATCCTGGGACGGGAGTGACTTCTGGGGAATGCTGTCCTGGGGCAGGATGGCCATGTGGCTTGGGGAATTGGTAGCTTGGGGAATTTGCAGCTTGGGGCTCTGGAGCCAAGCCCAGTGGGCAGCAGGAGGGCTGAGGACTCCTGACCCCAGCCCTGGCTGCCTGCTCCAGCACCCAGCCCTTGGCAGGGCACAGGCTGGCACCTGCCCACGCTCCCAGGCCTGCCCAGGCCTGCTCCCATCCTCTGCAATAATCTGCTTTTTATGATGTGATTGGCAGCCACTTACAGCCTCAGCAAACAGTGTTTCTGCAGCTTTGTAATGAGGTCTTAGGGAGGCAGTTGCAGGCAGTAATTATTGCATGAACGGCACTAGAAGAGCAATCATTTGATGACATCATAAATGAGGCGCTGCCCCATAAATGTGGCAAAGTGATTGTGCAGCTCTGAAAGGCTGAAGGATGGGCAGGCACCAGGGATGAGACTCGCTGCATTGTGGCTGGTGATGGCACCCGGTGGGCTGGGCACCAGGCCCTCTGCCAGCAAAGCCCTCGGGTGCAGAGGAGGGACCCCATGGGAGGGCCGGCAGTGTGGAATTGCCACGGAGCCAGCCCCGGCACTGCGTGAGGGTGCCAGGGACCCCGCTGGCCCCAGTGAGAGCAGCCCGCACCCACCCTGGGACCGGCTGCCCTGGCACTGAGGACAGAGCACAGCTGGGGCTCGGTGCCAGGCACCGTGCCCAGGCAGCGCCAGGGAGGAGCTTCGTTTCATGTGTGGGCAGAGGAAGGAGAGGAGCCAGGCTGCTCCCAGAGCAGCCCCTGCCGGCCGCGGGGCTCCGGGCAGCACCGGCCGGCTGTGCACGCTGCTTCCAGTGCTGCCCTCAGCCCGCTGCCCCCCGGCACGGTCCTGTGCCCCCTGCAGCCCCGACGGGCCCCTCTGGCCGCGGCCGCACCTGCACCCGCACCTGCTCCCCCTCATCTGGTGCCCAAAGCTGTGCTCTTACCTTGCTGCCGGGCCTCCAGCTCCTTCATTTCCAGGTCATGGCTGAGCTCTGGAAGAGAAATCCAGCAGGACTGAGGAGGAGCATCCCACCCGCTCTGCGCTCCCCATGTCTTCCTCTGCTCCCTTTGGGGCACTGGGCATCACCGTGGCTGCAGTGATATCTCTGCCCAGCCTTCGTGGGAGTGTGGCCATCTTGGAGCACCAGCCACAGGCTGAGCTAAAAATAGGCAATTCTGGCAGCTTATATGATATTAGGGAGCCTCATGGCCAAGACATTGTCTCCGGCATGCTCTACTCTTCTGTCTTTCATTTTTCTGAAAGAGCTGCTGAACCATTTTCAGTACTGTAAACCGGGACAAAGAGCAGAGCAATGGATTGAAAATAGACCAAAGTGTAAGCTGCCACCCAAAGCATTTCATAATTTACTGCTCCAGGCTGATCACTGCCTCTGCATGTGACGCAAGCAGGGATGGCCTCGTCCCAGCACGATGTGCCTGCAGAAGGATGCTGCCCTGCTCCAGGGCGACGTGGACCATCCAAATCCCTTCCAAATCTCAGGAGCTGCAGCACCTACCTCCCTGCCCAGCCCCAACATGCTGCCTCCTCTCTGCTGCCCTTTGCCTGCTCACTGTCTAGCCCCAGGCTACAGCACCAGGTCACAAAGTGCAGCTCAGGGACCTTCTGCAGTTCACTTTACCCTGCACTCTTACAGACAGTCCCTTTTGAATTATTTATCACACCCCACCCAACCACTAACAGCCCTGAGCAGAGGAAGAGAGTGGTAGCAGCAGCATTCAGCTGCTTGGGGGCTATTTTTTCCCCTGAAAATGAGTTCAAATGGTTAATCTTTGCCCTACATTTTTCTTTTAATCTGCTTTTGTGTTGACTCTAATCCTCATCACTGCCATCCTTCTGAAACCGAACGCTTGTCTCAGGCTGCTCTGCCTGTCTGTCTTGGAAAACAAATCTGTAGTGAGGAGGCAGAAGTACCTGAGACCATAATGCAGTTTCTGGAAAGCGTTCAGCACTCTTGACTGCCCCAGTGGGAATCAATGGCCACTGTTGTGCTATTTTTCTGAAGCTAAAATAATAGGTTTGGAGTCTCAGATATATTTCAAATGAAAACCAAAGCAGTTGCCTGTTTCCAAAGACATCATTCTACTGAGCAAGTGCAGGGATGACGCATAGCCTGGGGTCCCAGTTTCTGTGCTGGAGCCAGGGGGTTGGTGCTGATCTGCTTCAGTACCATCCCCATGACCCTTGAGGGGCAGGTGAGAACCACCTCTGGGGAAGGGAGAGCCTTTCCCACAGGGGTACCTCAGAGAGACCAAGGGGACAGTGGAAAAGTCACAAACAACAGTGCCAGGGCAGCAGGCAAGGCTCCGCAGGGCCACATTGAGGAAAAACTGACTTAACGACTCTACTCTCCTCCTGCAAACAGCCTCCCAGATAATGACACTCAAGTGTCAGGAAAGGCTCCTTCCAACTGCCCAGGGGTTGCCTGGCACTCCTGGCAGAAGACACAGCACACCCAGGAGGACAGGACCCCTCTGGTCAGGTACAGCTGTCCTTGGGTCACACTGGGAAGGGGAGATCACCGTGCAGTGGCTCATTTCAGCCTGTGGGGACAGATCCCCCCAAGTTTGAATTAGGCAGGAGAACCCCACTGTTTTGTCTGCCTGAAGAGGCTGTAGATGAAACCATTAAGACAATGAAACAAAACAGTGAAAGCTCATAAAGGATGGGGAAAAATAGCCAATTTTATCGGTGCAGACATTTCTTTGTTTCCCAGGAACCTGGGAGAATGAGAGGCTGGAAGACAAGGAGTAATTAGCTATGGCTGAATTATTGATGAGAGCAGCAGCACAAGCTGGAATGAGTTCCAGTGGTGGCAGAAGGCTGCGCAGCCATCACTGCTGCAGGGGACTGTGACCCCGCTGCAGCTGCGCAGGGCCCCGAGCCTCGCCCTGCAGCCTCCTCTGAGCCCGTCTGGGGGCACCCCGGGCTGCAGCAGGAGCCTCCCTGCCCGAGGAGCTCCGGGAGCTCTCAGCTCCCAGCCCCGGGGCCGCAGCGCTCACCTGAGCAGTGCTTCTGCAGGCGCAGGATCTCCAGGTGCAGGTCGTGGAGCAGCTCCATCTGCTCCTTCTTCAGGAAAGCGATGTGCCGCTGCACGCTCTGGATCTGGTGCTCCAGGGACACGGTCTCCATCGCAACCAAATTCACAGTCCAGGCCTGCAGGGAGTGGAGATGGCCGGTGATGAAACGTGCAGCAGTGCCCCAGCCCCGGGGCCCTTGTGGGGGCAGAGCCCCTGTGTGAGCCCCACACAGAGGTGCAGGGTGGTGCCTCCTCTCCTCAACCCTCTCCACGGGCACCGTGGCTGTGGGCAAGGCAGCCCTGCTCAGCTGATGCAGGGAATGGCCTCAGCCCTCTCACCTTGCAGTGCCTCTGGGGCCGGCTCCTGTCCTGCCCGCTCTGAGACTGCACAGGCAGGAAATGCTGCTGCATGAACCCTGCCATCACAGCATGCATGTCTGTTCTGAATTGGCCCTAGGAAATACTTTATCACTGAGTAGGACGCATCTGGGACAGGATTGCTGCTCGTTGTCCCCAGGTGGGAGTTGCACCAGAGACGATTTTGGCTCTCACTTGACAAGCCCCACATTACACAGCAGCAACTGCAGCGAGCGATCCAGCACATGAAAAATACAATATGCTGTGTCTAACCCGATCAGCACTGCATGGCTGGGAGAGTCACGTTGTCTTCCAGGAGCAGGAACATCTTCCCTGGTAATTTGCCTGGCGGACAAGAGCTGCTGGCAGGCTGTGCCAGGCAGCCAAGCTGGGCTGGGCTGTGCTGGGGGTCCGTCCCCATATCATCAGCGGCTGTGGCAAAGCAGCTGCAAAAGCTGCCCACCTGTCCTGCTGCACAGGAAGATAAAAACAGCCCCTGAAAGAGCCCTTTATCCCAGGAAATACCTTTTTGTGGTGTGTGGAATCAGTCCTTGCTCCCTACACACAGCCCAGAAGGAAGGAAGCTGCAGCAAATGAAGATAACCTGGCAGAGTGGCTGGACTCAATGACCTGAGAGGTTTCTCCAACCTAAATGATTCTATGTGCCACAAGCCTGAGGGATGGAGTGCATCATCCTGTCCCTGGGCAGCTGTTCCCCACGTCCGACTCCAGTTTTCTCTCTACAGACACTGCAGAACCAAGTGAGCACTGTGGCCCACTGTTCCAGCACCCCTGGCAAGGTCACATAGGGCATTTTGCAATTCCTGCACCCAGAATGTATTTACGATCAATCCCTCAGTAAGTGGTCTTGGCAGTGCCCCAAGGTCAAAGCTTTGTTCCTGCTAAAGGCTCTGTAGATTTGGGACAATTCTACAGTCAGGTCTCCTGTGTTTGATGAGGTGTGGGCTGCAGGCTGGCTGGGGACAGCTGAGCACCCAAGCTGCTGGTAAAGAAATGATCCAAAGTGCATTGTCCTGTAGTTGTCCTTATGGAAGGTGTCAAACCCAGCTGTGCCAGGGGGCTGGGGCTGGCCAGGCCATCCTCCTTGGAGGGCAGTATGTCCTGATGCCAGTGCAAGAGTTATGGAGTTATCTGGCATCTGCCAGAGACCAGGAATGCAAACCACACCATGGGTACATCCTCCTGCCAGCCCTGGCCATGGTGGGCTGAGCTTCTTGATGGGAGCTGTGTTCCTCATCTCAGGAAACATCAGAAAGTAGGTTGGCCAAAGCACAGGGGACACATACTGCTATTTTCAAGCACTTTGTTCTGTCTAGTAGAAATGTCTTTAGTAGAAATGGCTGCAAATTTTCCATTGAACTTTCACTTCTCCCCTTAAGTAGGAAATTGTTCTCTTTTTTTTTTTTAACCAATGAAAATGTTTTCCTTTAAAAATAGTTGATAGATTTCAAGCTGCAAAAAAAGTCAAAGAAAAAAAATCTGGACTTGAGATCTGTTGTCTCTGATTTGGAAGCGAAGAGCCTTCATAATTTACCTGTGTATGCGGGAAGAGAAGTCTGTCTCCAGAATTGCAATGGTAAATCCTTAGTGGGTTTGAATCAGCTTTGCCTGTCCAACATGACTTTCATGTTTTGTCTAGAGAAGCAGCTGTCAGCTTGTGGCAGGAACATCTGAAGCCCCATGTGAGGGGGCGAGCACCTCGTTTTGTTTATCCACGAACCTCCCACCAGTACTGAGGGCATGGAGCAAGGCAGGGGTGGGACACAGAGGCAAGCGGGGCAGGAGCTGCCTTCACTGGAAATGAGGACAAAGCTGGAAACAGTCGTGCTGTTGCCCAAGAGCAGCGAGGAGAGGAGCTCTCCAGAGATTCCAGGGACCTGAGGCTGCTTCTGTTCACCATTTGCAGCCCCATGGGAGGGCCGTGTTGTCCCCTCTGCAGGTCCCACAGCTGTGCCTCACAGGTGATGATGCAAGAGCCAGAGCTGTTAAGGAAGATGCAATCTCATCCTGAGGCTTCAGTAACATCAGTGTTGGAGTGTCCCTAATGTAGTAGATAGGGAGAGGCGCCCGGAAAATCTCTCGATGTCACGGAAAGCAGTAGAATTCCTCTCCCCCTAACTTCTAGTGATAAGAGATCACCCAAGAATGTAGTCCCCCCTAACATTAGTAACTTTCTACTCCTTATTAACCAATTACAGTAAGGTAAGACCCCCTGACGTAGAGAAAAAACTTGCCAAGTATAAAACCCTACAAGACGAAACAATAAAAGCCTTTAGACCGTCCACCATACTAGTGCCTGCGTGTGTTCTTAACCCGAGTGACCCTAGAGAGTTTGAGTCGCCGTGCCGTTTCCTCAGAACCAAGTCGCCTCGCCTTGCATCAGAAAGCAACACCCTAACTGTACCCGAGGGCAGTAGATGGGCATTTGCATCACCAGGGCAGTGTCACCTTTTACCCCAAAGGAGTTCAGAACCAAACTCTCAGCAGCTGGTATCCTCCCTCCAAGTTTCTGAAGGCAAGTGGGATTGCAGCAGCATCCTGAGCCTTTAGTTTGATGTGTGCCTTGTGTCATTTCACACAGTTCCATCCTGGGCAGTGTTGGGAGTTAATAAGGATTAGCTGCTGCTGCTGGCTGATTTAACACTTACAGGGTGACCAGCTCCCAGCTGGTAACACCAGAACTCCCTGTGCCGAGGCTTCAGAACAGCCACAATGGTGATGTCCAAAAGCCTGTGCAGTGAACTATGGCAGGAACCTTCACCCTGTGCCACAGGCACGAGAGCCAAAGCATGGTGAGTGGGGCTGTCCTTGCCAGCGGCTCCTGCTGCCCAGCTGGGTGAGTGAGGCTCCCAGGATGGGTGTACTGCAGTGAGTGGGGACACGGTTGGTGCCCCACTCTGATCCCTCCCTTGTGCTGTAGCTGTTACTTCTCCTTTCCAGACTAGTTCTAAGGATGCCAAGACAACTGGTGGTGGAAACTCTCACAGTGACTGTACTCTGTGATTTTGATGAGTTATGTATGAGATTACAACCGTAGAAAACAATGTCATTCATAATAAAAGCCAAGAGTAGGTGATAGTAGTCCTCTTTAGCTTGAAGGATGCTCTGTGCCCTTGTGCTTTTGAGAGTTGTACGTGTGCACACACAGCAGCAAAGGAGGCAGCAGTCAGCTGAGCAGAGTGGCTTGCCCCTATTCAAAGGTGACACCTACAGCCTGAGCTCCGTGCAGAGCTCTGGCTAAACAGTTCTCTCCTGCTTTGAGGACTGGACATCCACAGCTTTGCTCCACCGCCGAGAGCTTCCCAGGAACAAGGCTCCCTTGCTGTTCCCCCAAGATTTTGAGCACAGACCTGGTGAGGTGGCACTGGGCTCAGCCCCCTCCAGTTCCCCACGGGGAGTGACCGTGGGCATGGTCTCAGCTGCTGAGCCTTCCTGTGCACCTGCCTCTAAACCACGTTTTTTTCCACACTTCTTGTCCTTTCATATGCAACCATGACATTTGGCACAAGAATATTGGGAGTCCTGATCTCAGCTGCTTCTTTCAAATGCTGGGGGAAAACTCCAGTGAGATTTACAATTTCATCCCAATTTATCAAATTCTTATTTCACAAATGACTGAAGCAGCCTCTTGGAGCAGCTACAATGACCAATTCAGTTGCAAGTCTACCGAGAGATGATTTCCTTTGCACAGACAGGTTGATTGAGAGTTTGCTTCCAGGGCAAAACTCTGCTTAAGTCTGCTGTTCAATGTAAATCAGAATCCCAAAGCTTTGACCCAAGAAAAACCCTCCATCCCAATGATACATCTGAAAGGGAGATGCAGTATTGCCTATCTGTGTACCTCTGTACACACACCATGGTCACACCGTGGTCTGGCCCTTATCTGTGATTATTATTCCCCATAAATGGCAAATTAGCTGGGAGTCAGGGGGCATGAGGTTTGCAGGAACAGGTCGATAATTTGTCCTGCTGTGGCTGCCAGCAACCTCTTCTCCATCACATTGAAACATATGCAGGAATAAACACTGACACACACTAGAAATCCATAGTGCTTGGTATTTACAGCTCAAATAATATAAACTGCAGCAGTGCCACTAAGCTAGTGTATCTTTAAATGTAGGGAAATCAGGCAAGCAGGAAGCTCAGAAACTTGCAGAAGGTCACAGAGGCAGTAGCGATGCCAGGAATAGAAACCAGAGGTGAAATCCTGGCCTTGGAAAAGTCAGTGGGAAACCTTCCCTGTTCTTAGCAGAGGCACAATTACACTCGGAGCTCTGTTTGCTATTCATTATCTGTCAGTGTCTATTCACAGATAAAATCAATACAGATGGTGATTATAAATTATTGTTTCTTGCAATTCTCTGAGCACAACCGCCTGAGGAAAAGCCCTGGTGACGCTCGTCAGGGGGATGCGGAGGCTGAAGGCAAGTCCCTGCTTTCTCCTCCCGGCTCCGAGGGAATTCGCTATGGATGCAGCTCTGCTCCGGGAGCGGAACCGGGCCCTCGGCGCCGCTCCGGGCCGATCCTGTTCCCGGCGGGGGCCCCGCGGTGCCGCGTTCGCTGGGGCTGGGGCTGGCAGCGGCCCTGCCCGGTGCCGGTGCCGGTGCCGCGCTCCGCAGCGGGCGGCAGAGCCCGGGGGCTCGGGGGGACGGCGGGACCGAGCGGCGGCGGCGGCGGCACAGCCGGGCAGGGGCGGCCACAGCGCCCGCGGGCCGCGCACCGCGAGAGGCAACTTCCCGCACGGGCACGGCGGGGCCGCGGGAACTTGTGCGGGGCCGGCCCGCGGCCCCGGGACCCGCGGGACCCGCCCGCCCCGCGCCCGCCCGCCCCGCGGCCCGCGGCCCGCGGCCGGCGCCTTACCTGTGGGGAGCGGCGGGGCCCCGCGGGGCGCCCGCTGGGCGTCATGGGCGGCGGGGCCGGGGCCGGGCCGGGCCGGGCCGGGGCCGCGCCGGCTCCGCGCTGCCCGCGCTGCCTGCGGCGGCCCCGCCTCGCCCGGCCCGGCCCCGCCGCCCGTAAACAGGCGGCAACGTGACCGGAACTGGGGAGCTCCGCCGGGGCGGCGGCGGCGGCGGGCGGGCGCAGACCCTGCCCCGGGGCCGGGCCGCGGCCGGGCAGCGCATCGGGCTGGGCGCCGCTCCCCGGGACCCTGGGCCAAGCGGGGCTCGGCTCCCCGGGACCCTCGCTAAGGCCGAGTCCCGCTCCTCGGGGCTCTCGGGGTGCCGCTCCCCGGGACCCTCGGTGCGGCCGGGCTCCGCTCCCCGCCGCTCCACGCCGCTGTCCGCGGTGCTGAAGCCCAGGCCGAGGCTGCCCCGGAGCCCCGCGGCCGCCGCCCGCTGAGCCCCGGGCGCGGGGACCCCCGAGCAGCCCCGGCGGTCGGAGCGGGGCTCTGTGTCTGCGGGGAGGGCGGCGGCCGTGTGTCCCTGCGGGGGCTGCGGGCTCACCGCCGCTCAAATGCGGGCCGGCACCGGCTGCAGCCGGGAAACCGTCAAACCAGCGGGGCTGTGGTCAGAGAGATGGTGATAAAAACTTGTTTACTCGAGTGGTTACTGATTTTTCATGCCTTTTGTTTGTGGTGCCCCGACCAGCTGGGGCTTGGCATTGAAGGATGACTCAATGCTTTGCGCCTGTGCTCCGTCAGGGAGGGGATGCGCTGGCCTGTTCCACGCGGCACGGCGGCACAGCGAAATGGTAGCGTCCTCCCGTCAGCTGACAGTCTGCTGATTGCCGTTCCCTAAACCCAAACGTGCCTGGAGAGCGCCCTGCTCCTGCTCTGATGCTGAGCTGTGCTCCGTCTCCTGTTAGAGCTGCTGCAATCCTGCTTATCCCAGTGCACAACCAGCACAGAGGAGTTGTAGGGGAGCTCACAGACTGTGGTCTGTGGTATCATTCTGCCATCCCACATCCTTCCCTCCCCTTGAATGCTTCCAGGCTCTGGGTGAGGGCTGGTGCTCCACAGATCCAGCGAGGCTGTGCTGTAGCCAATAGACTGCCCTGTGCCTGCAGCTCCAGGTGTGATACAGAGAGTTTGTGACATCTCTGCGCAGTAACGGCCAAGGACTGGGCCCTCACCTCAGGCACGGTGGTGGGGTCCAGCCTGGTCTGCTGTTTCTGGTAGTTGAGAAAGGCTGGGCTTGGTGATAGGGCTCATCTATGGAGACTAAGTTTAGTTCACATAAAGAAAGAAATCATTGAATCAGGAGAAAAGATAAGCAGTGTGCTCTGAAACGTCTGTACATGCACACGCAGGAAGATAATTTGCAATAAGTTATTCAGACAGATCTGCTTGCAGCCCCAGACAGTGCAATGGAGAGCTTCAGAGCCTCCCAATGCCAGCTCCTTTGTGGGCCTCCTTTCAACTTGTGTTCTCTGAAAAATGAGTTCTTGAAACAAGAAGTTGTTAAGGGGTCACAGGTGCTGCGTGAAGGGGGCGAGTGCAGCCGTTCTTGTTCAGAGCAGCACTGTCTCAGGTGGAGCCCCTCTCGTCCATCTGTGACCCTCAGGTCAACGCTTGCCAAGGTGCCATTGTCCCTCTCAGGGCAGTGTGCCATGCTTGGGGTGTGTGGGTGTTTTTAATGTCTCCTTGTGTCTTCCCCTAACTTGTGTGCTAACTTAAGCAGCAGCGAGCTACAGATGGGAGATGAGGGGAGGAGAAAGGGGAATGTCTGAGTGCATCACATTTCACAAGGTTTGTACAATTTTCATTGATTTTCCACTGGATAAAAGACAAGCCTGCAAAGAGTCAAGGTCAGGCACTCAGGGACAGAGAGTGGCTGTGTGAATGAGGTCATCGCTCGGGATGCAGCCTGCCAGGGGACAGCAGCAGAGCACAGCGCATCCTCTGCACCAGCACGGAGCAGGAAATGTTGGCTGCCTCCACAGCCATCATCTGGCAACTTGGGGTCACTCTGCTGCACGCAGCCTGCTCGCGTTTCCCATCTCCAGCTCCAAAATTAACTGGTTTCACTGGCAGCTTTCTCGAGCAGGACATGACACGGCAGTCCCTTTGCTGATGCTGCCAGGCGCCGTGATGTCCTGCACTGCAGTTATGCTGCATCTCTTCCCCACTCTCTGCTTGATCCCAGAGACAGGAGTTCCTGCTCAAACAGCTCTGAGGTTACAATGCAGTGAGGCAAATATGGCAGGAATACCAGTTCAGGAGGAACTGGGGGTCCCTGCTGCCGCCTCAGACGCGTGACTGAGCTCCAGAGGCTGCTGGGCAGCAGCAGAGAGCTCCTTGTCTGTCGCACCCAGCTCGGACACGTCTCACTGCCATGTGAGAGCGCTGGCAGCCCCTGCTCGGGGCCCCCCCGGGGCAGCAGACGTGGGGAGCCCCGCCGAGCGCCCCAGCCCCGGGTTCTGCTGCAGCAACGTGGCTTGTCCGCTGCTCCGAGCCGGGGGAGACTGGGGGGATGCAGGACGGGAGTGTGGGGATGTGAGGATGTAGGGATGGAGTGTGCGGGATGCGGAGCCGTGGGATGCGGGATGCGGGCACTGCGGATGGGGCTGCGGGCGGCAGCTCTTCCGAGCGGGGCTGGGCTCGGCTCCGCCGCTGCTGCTGCTGCTCCGAGCCGGCACTGACCTCTAGTGGCACCGGCAGCGGCAGCGGCAGCGGCGCCGGCGGACAGCGGTACCGGCCGCGGTAAGGATGAGCGGCCCCGGCCCCGGCACCGGCACAGGCAGCACCCGTGCGTCTGTGGGTGCGCATGTGCATGCATGTGGGTGGGTGTGTTTGTGTACATGTGTATAGGTGTGTGTGTCTGTGTCTGTGTTTGTGTGTGTATGCGTGTGTGTTTGTGTGTGTGTCTGTATGTGTAGGAGTGTGTGTACATGTGTGTGTGTGTTTGAGCGCATGAGTGTGTGTGTCTGTGTGTTTGTGTGTGTTTTTGTGTGTTTGTGTGTGTATGCGTGTGTTTGTGTGTGTGTCTGTGTGTGTGTGTGTCTGTGTGTGTATGAGTGTCTGTGTGTGTATGTGTGTGTGTGTGTCTGTGTGTGTGTTTGTGTCTGTGTGTGTATGAGTGTGTGTGTGTATGAGTGTGTGTGTGTCTGTGTGTGTATGAGTGTCTGTGTGTGTATGAGTGTGTGTGTGTGTCTGTGTGTGTGTGTGTATGAGTGTGTGTTTGTGTGCCCGTGTCCTGGCTCGAGCTGTCCCAGGCCGCGTTCCCGCTGTGGACACGCCACGCTCGGGGCTGGGCAGGGCCGGGGCCGTGCTGCCCTGCCGGGGGAAGGGGCGCTGGGCACCACGGCCTCCCTCTGTCCTCACAGGTGCCACAGTCAGCGGGCAGGGACAGGCCCGGGGCTGCTCGTGCCACCGTCCGTCCTTGCCGGGCCGCAGAGGAGCCGAGGGATGCAGCCTCTGCCGCAGGCCTGGACGTGGCCCAGGGCCTGTGCTGGCTCGGCCCGGGCCCCTTCAGCGCGGGCTGGTTCCTGGAGCGAGCCGCTGATTCCCGACCGGAGCCGCGTCCCGTGTGCGCTGCAGCGAGCCTGGACGCCGTGCCCTTCCAGGGTGGCCACGGCAGTGCTGTGGGACCAGAGCTTTCCTCTGCCACCCCCGAGTCAATTATTAGGGGGATTTTTCCATTTAATTTATAAATGAGTTTAACTTTGCCTCAGATATTATTTTCCAATCTAATTGAAATGTAGTGTATGTGTGCCTTCTAATTGCTTTGAAGAACCTAACAAGAAGCTCCTTAAAGTCTAAAGGCTAAAAGCTGGAGGATTTTAATAAATTTAACATTAGCTTAACATTTCCACAGGGATTGGAAAATATCTACTTGTAAGGATATTTGCCTGAGCCGAGCAATGCAATTTGTTCCTCTGTTAATACATATATGATATGTGAACGATCCAATTTTTAATTTTTCTCATTGTTTAAAAACTCTTTTAAAATGAAGGTTGCTTTTATTTTTAAATCTCCCAGGTCTTTAAAAATTGTTATGGTGAAGCATCAGATGTGGGGTGCCAGCCATTTCCTGGCCCACACAGGAGGCCGAGGCTGGGCTGCCGGGGGCATCCCCAGCTGCCCACCTGGGCACGTTCTCTCTGGGCAGGTGGTTCTCTCCAGCCTGCAGCCCATGGCTCGCAGGAGAGGAGAGCCCTGTGGAGGGCAGGCCACTGCCCAGATGTGGGAGAATCTGAGCTCCCTTTCTGTGGCCCAGGCAAGGCACAGCCTCCCCAGGTGGCATGGCTGGGCAACCTCGGCTCCCAGCTGTGAGCAGGCATCAATGCCCTTCAGATGTGTTTGCACCCAGCACCAGCAGGACTTCAGAATTACCAATAACAGGAATTTACTTCGGTATTGAACACCATTTGCTCTCAATGAGGCTGTTGGCTTGTGGATGCAGCACCTGGGTTTGCTGAGCTGTGAAATTAAGTTCTCAAAGATCAGAAAAGTGAGGATTTAGGACCAGAACACCACTTTTGGGAAACAGCTTTCCGTGTGGTTTCAAGCTGCTTGCAGTAACACCTGCCTGCAGGTGTGGTTTCCTCCCTGAGCCCCCTGCAGCTCCCAGGGGCTCTGGGGGGGAGCTCCGGCTCGGGCGGGTTTTACTCTGCATTTATGGGCGAACAGTCCTGCCGGTGCTGCCGAGTGGGTGCTCTCACAGCGAGCAAGGACCGAGACAGGAGCAGGGCGGGCCCAGCCCCGGCTGGGCAGGTACGGCCCCGCCCGCCCCGCGCACCTGCGCGGGATCGGTGAGTGGGGGGCTCGGGGGACGGGGATGCCGGGGCCCGCCCTGGGGTTTCTGCCCCCGAGGCTGTTCCCGAGGCACTTTGGGATGCTCAGCCCGACTCGCTCTGAGTGTTAAAGAGGCTGCAGACGCTCATTTCCCTGGAGCCCTGGACGGGGTCCAGCTGGCCGGTGCGAGACTCCGGGGTCCGCAGGGAGGCACCGGGGGCGTCGTGTCCCCCTCGGGGCCGCCCCGGCGGGGGCGTTGCATAACGCTTTACATAACGGGGCCGGCGGTGCGGCCCCCCCGCACCTGCCCGGGCCAGGCCCCCCGGTCCCGCGGGCGCCGGAGGGGGCGGGAGCGCAGGAACCGGCGCAGGAACCGGCGCAGCCCCGGGGCCGCCGCCGAGGAGCCGCCGCCGCTCCGAGCGGGGTCTGCGGGCTCGCCCCGCCCGGCGGGACCCCCGGCATGGCCTCGGGCAAGGCGGCGGGGGAGCGGCGCTGGGAGCTGGTGCGCTGGTGAGTGCGGCGGGCCCGGGGCTCCCTCGGCAGCGGGGAGCCGAGCTGGGCAGGGGGGGCTCAGCTTGCGAGGGCTCTGGGCTTTGGCCGGGGATGCTCCCAGCCCGGAGAGGGGGAGAGCCCGGGCTGGGGGGACACAGGATCTCGCCCTGGGTCTGGGACGTGCGGGGCGCTCCGAGGGGCGCCGGGGGTCCCGGCCGAGCGGGGGGGGGGGTCCGGGCGGAGCGGGGGTCCCGGTGAGGCTCCTGCTCCATCCGGGGGACACACGGGGTGCAGGGAGGGGGATCGCTGGCAGAGGCAGGAGGGGCGGTTCCGAGCACTTTGCGCGCTCGGGAAAGGGTCCTGCCCGCTGGGCAGGCTGCGTGCCGGGGTGCCGAGGGCTCCTCGTTCCGGGGTGTCCCCGGGACTCGCGTGGCTGCTCCGGGCTCTGGCGCGCGGGGACGGGGTGGGACAGGGCACCGTCTGTGCCCGGAGCAGCCGGGACGGGCTGACATTGAGAACAAGCTTTGTCTGTGCTCTTTTATGTTGAATTGTGCAGTTTGTGACGTCCGAAGCTTGTGACTTTTGAGCAGGGCGCTGCGGCGATGCCAGGCTGTGGCTGGGGACGCTGATGGCAGCGCCGGGCCGGGCCCGGGTGGGAGCAGAGCCGGGCCCGTGCTGGGTGCCAGCTGTGGGTGGGAGCCCCTCGAGCCAGGGAAGAGTGGGAACCACTGAGGCTTTTTCTTTTCCTCTCTCCCTCCCTTTCCCCGCTCCTTGCAGCCGAGGATACTTTTTCCCCTCACACACTTGAACAAACTGTGACAGCAGCTGCTGGCCTGGCTGTTCTGCATCCCCACTGCCTCACCCTCACTTCCCAAGGGACATCCTGGCTTCCCTGGCCCTGCTCTGTGCACGGTTATCATACCCCAGAGCTGCAGGGAGCGCTGGCATTGCACCGTGCTCGGTTGCTTTTAACTGGAAAATTGGCAGGACACTCTGTGCTGGGGATGCTCAGGGAGCCTTTTGGGTGTCCTTCAGCTGCAGCTCCTCCACTGTCGCTGCCCCAGCTCCACGGCACCCGGCAGGGTGGGCTCAGGCTGGTCACAGAGCCCAGCAGCAGCACCTGGGGAGCTCCTGGCACACTGGAGCCTCCCCTCAGCCCCATCCAGTGCAGGCACATCCCTGGGGTTAATGCTGGGGATGAACCTCCTGGAGCATCCATGTGCAGAGGAAGGGACAGGAGCTCTCTGCAGCTCTGGCTGAGGTTCATGGCTGCTGCAGTTGTGTGTGCATGTGTCTCCAATCAGTACTACAGGGGCTTTAACTTATTAATCACTCGCTGATGAAATTTCACAATCAGAGGAGTGTGTATGAAGCACAGCTGGCTGCTGGCATGGAAGCAGGCAGCAGGGTTTTGTTCCAAAAGATGGAAACAACTGCAGTTATCAGAATTTTGCTCACTTAACAGAGAACCCATACTCTTCTAATCAAATTCATAACCATCAATTCATTTGGCTATTACTGGATAAGCCTCGGCATCTGGCCTGGCATTTGAAGTGATGCTAGAAGGCCTTGGAGCCAGGGCCAGCCCGGGGGGTGGGTGTGTGCTGGGGCAGGCTGTGCCCCAGCACGATGGTGCTGAGCAGGGGTGCTGTGCCTCTGTCCCCTGGGGCCGTACAGGGGAATGTCCTGTGCTGCTCTGGGAATGTTTGTGCTTTGCTTTCCGGCACAAGGCGGTCAGGGGGGCCTGTGGGTCTGGGCTGGGGGCCCTGCGTGGGCTGGGGGCTCTGTCCCCTGGGGCTGTACAGGGTTGCAGCTGGCAGCAGCCCCACAGGTACCCAAGGGGGTGCAGGGCCCCCTCCCTGGGGTCAGTCTCAGGGGATGCCCTGTCCCAGGCACGGCCGTGGGTGCGTGGGCTGGGGGCAGCGAGGGTGCGGATGGCACGGGGAGCGGGCAGAGGAGGGGCTGTGAAGGATTTTCTGCCGCCCCCGGGGCAGGCCGCGGTGCACGCCCAGCCGCTCCCTCCCGCAATCGGGGCTGATGAATATTTCAGTCTCCCTGGGTTTATTTTTAGGTACGTGCGAGAGGGCCGCTTCCGCATCGAGGAGAGGACGCTGACGGCTTTCCAGTGGCTCTACTCACCCCAGCAGCACCGCATCGTCAGCAGGGCAGACCTGGGCTCCCCCAGCAGGTGAGGGGCCGCGGGCTCAGGGTGGGCACTGCGGGTAGAGCGCTGGCACGCCCTGCTGCTTGCTCTGTCACAAGCCCTTGTGGGCCTGCCGAGCCTGTCTGGGAGCCCTGTGACACATGAGCATCTCGGGCTGTGCTTCAAAATCAAGTGCCAGGTGCAGTGGTTGCGCCAGGAGCTGCAAACCCCACATAACAGCTGTTTGGTTTAAAGCAGTGGGAAGGACAAACGATCACCTGCCTGCCCAAACTCTTCTTGTAATCGTCCCCATGGTTTTGGTCGAGGATCTGCTTTATGTGGGCAGCACTTGAGGTTTACTTAAAAACAGATGGTAGCCAGGGGCTGTGTTTTCCCCAGCCATCAGTGATCGCTGGAAAATATCTGTTCTGATCCCCTGATTTTGGTCGGTGCTTAAACTCTCCCCTTGGGAGCCACATCCCAGGCACATGCTGCGGCTCTCCCTGCTGATGCATATGCATTGCTGTCAGTTCCCACCCCGTGTTTGATGATAAAACACCATTAACATAAAAGCCTCATGGGCCTCCAGACACACACAGAGCAGCATCTGCTCTCTGGCCTGCAAAGAGCTCTGGAACACGCTGAGTCCCTGAGTGGCTGTGGCACTAAAAGCTCTTCCCTCTCTGTTTCAGCAGCAGTTTTGCTCCAAGAGCCCTTAAAGCCCTGAAGTATTTATCTGCCTGGAACTGCATGGATGAGAACAGCGGTGGGAGGGTGGCTGCAGAGGATGGAGGTGCCCAAAATCCACTTGGGTTTCCCAGGACAGGAAGGGCTGTGGGTACTTTTCATGCAGGGCAAGCCGGGTGGGGTGGAAGGAGGTGACATTCACACCTGGGACAGGTGACATTCACACCTGGGAGAGACTTCCAGGGGCACGATGAGGTGCCGGCAGGAGCCACGGCAGACACGCTGACTGCTGCCATCTGCTTCCCGCGACGGGAATTCCTCTGCCTGCCGCTGGAGAGGCTTTCCAGAAACTGGAATGACTGTGCTGTTTATTGATTTTAACTAATTTTTGCAAATTGCTTTCAGAGGTTGTGTTAGCCCCGCGCCTGATGCGCATGTCTCATTTGGCACGTGCAACTGAAATGCGTGTAACATCATTTATAATTGATGTTAAGTGCTGTTGGGGTTAATTTCACTAGATTCATTTGATTTCCCGAGGGCGTTAATTTCCCTGGATTCCTTTGATTTCCCAGCGGAAAAGTTACCTGGAAGCTTCCCCTGGGAAGTTACCTGGAGCCGTCTGGAGACTCTGTAGGATACCAGCGACCTATTATGAGTGGTGTCTGTGTCTCTCTCATGGGAGTAAAATGTTTGTCTCCCAAGGCGGCTCAAGTGTAAGCTCTGGCTCGGCAGGAGCAGCCGCGGGCACAGGGACGGGCACGGGGACGCTGCGGGCACCGGGACGGGCACAGGAACGGGCACGGGGATGCTGCGGGCACCGCTGGGCACGGGGATGCTGCGGACACCGGGACGGGCACAGGGACGGGCACGGGGATGCTGCGGGCACCGCTGGGGCACGGGGATGCTGCGGGCACCGCTGGGCACGGGGATGCTGCGGGCCGGGCCGCCCGCTGCGGCGGCTGCTCGGTGGGAAGGGAGCGAGGGGACAGACGCGGCGGGGCCGCGTTGGTGCCTCGGGCAGGACAGGGCGGCGGCACCGGGCGGGCTCTGCCTCCGCAGCCGGCGGGGTCCCGGGGCCGCGGCGGCGGGCGGGGAACGCGCCCCGCCCGGTTCGGCCCCGCCCCGCCCCGCCCGGTTCGGCCCCGCCCCGCCCGGTTCTGTCCCGCCCCGCGCGGGGCCGGCTCCGCCACCGCGGCGGGATCCGCGGGCGGGAGCGGCGGGCACGGCGCGGCGCGGGGCTGCGGCTCCATCCCCGGTACGTACGCGCTCAGCGGGGCAGCCCCGCACGGCTCTCGGCTGCTCCGTCCGCGTTCGGGGCTGGGGCCGGGGGCTGTTCGGAGGCTCAGGGCTGGGGACGGACCGGGATAACGGGACCCGTGTGTGGGAGGGCGGCGAAGCGGCTGCCAGCGCGGCTCTTAGAATATTGACCATTCGAGGAGGCGATTTCCAGCAGCCCGTGCGGGGCTCTGCCTGCTGTCCCCGGGGGTCGGGGTGCTGGGGTCCGGCGGCGTGCGGGGGGCTCTGTCCCGCCTCCCCCGGCACCTCCTGGCCGGGAGCCCCAGGTGTTTGCACAGGACGGGGGTGTCTGAGCCTCCCTGCGTGCCCACGCCAGTCTGCCGGGGCGATTCCCCACACCGCGGCCCCTGCGCGGGGCTGCAGCTCATCCCTGACAGCAAAGCCGTGCAATGTCTGCCCACCAGGCTGAGCTTTCCCTTCATGCTGCTCATTCCCACAGGCAGAGCACCGATATGCCTGGCGTGGAGCTGCACAGAGCCTGTGAGGGCTGTGAGATGTTGTTTGCATCCCTGGCGAGCGCAGGCTGAGATGGATCCTGCCAGGTTGTGCCATCTTCTGCACGCTCTAGGCTCTGCTGTTTTGTTTAAGACTGCTTGTTGTTTTAGAAGCAGAAGGGACATAATATCTGTCCACAAGGCAGGATTTACTGGAGGTTGGAATCGTGCCAAAGAGTTTAAATTCAGATCCACCCCGCGGTGTGATTGCAGGCAGCCGGCTCGCGCTTGCACACACCACGTTTCACAGATACTGCATTCTCCCTCTGCTGCCGGTTCCTCCCGCTGGAGAGGATAACCATAGCAGCAAACATGCCTTTTTCTTTGCTTGTTTGTTTTATCATCCTCCCTTCCCTCCATCCCTAGGCACATCTGTGTGGTAGCAGGGTCCTGAGGGCTGCCCAGAGAGGCCCTCTGCTGCTGCTGCTGCCTGTTGTGTACCTGCTCAGATGCTCTGGTGGCTGCTGCTGCTGTGGAAACAGGAACAGGACTTCTGCAGCAACAGGAGGAGAGACATTTTTTCCAGGAGCTAAAACCAGCTCATTCTCCACAGACAGTTTTGCAGTTTTGTGGGGGCAGATGAATCCTCGCTTGGAGTTAACATCTGCCTCCAAGCTGGATGCCAGAAGGACTGTTGCTCGACTGTGATTTGGTTTCAGCCTGGCACTTGAAAAGCCCACTCAAAATGGTTGAAAAATACAGGTGATGTTGGCAAGAGGTAGCAGGATTTGGAAAAGCTCGAGTCCAAGCCCCATGTGGCTTGTTTGCAATGTTCAGTGTCCACACATGGGTTTGGCCTCAGACCTGAGCCTGGCTGCTGAGGCCTGACCTTGTGCCAGGGCAGCTCAGCCTCGGGCAGCCAGGATTCCCTGTGTGCTGCTGAGGCCAGGGTGCAGGGCAGGTGAGCAGAGGAGCAGCCCTGGGCAGGGGAAGGTGCCAGGACACGTGCTGGGTCAGCGAGCCCGGTGCCCTGCTGCTGAGGGCATTGCAGGGTCACACAATCACAGAATGCTTTGGGCTAAAGGGACTGTAAAGGTCATCCAGTTCCAAACCCCCCACTATGGACAGGGACACTAGACCTTACCACCTTGTGTAATATCTTAAATCTTCTGAGTCTCAATGAGGGGGTTGGGGTATTTTTGATTCCTTTATTTCCATTATTAGAAAATTGTCCCAGAGATTGATTGTATTGAAAATTAGAAAGCTCCTAATTCCCAGCCAAAACATGTTCAGGTCTCTCTCATTCCCATGCTTTCATCCCGCCCCCACGTTTTCCCAGCCCTGGTTTTCAGTTTAAGCTGTTCTTTTTCTGTCTCTGCACAATTTCTTCACTGGCTGCAGCCACCCCCTGCTCCGTGTTTGCTGTGTGAATTGGGCCAAACCCTCTCTAGCTCCTGGCGCAGCTGCCGGTGCCAGCCTGGCTCTGGGGGCAGGTTTTTGTGGAGGTTTGCCCCAATGCACCCTCCTTCCTGCAGCCCTTGCACTGCCTGGGCGGGCGAGCTCTGGGCTCCCGTTCCTGCAGGCGGTGGGGACTGACGTGCAGGGATGTGCAGGTAGCCATGGTGACAGCCCAGGACCTGCTCCGGCACGGCAGCCGCTCCTCTGCCTGCAGCAGGGCTGCCACGGCCGCAGAGGAGCGCGGCGGGCAGGGGCGCTGCCCTGTCCCTGGAGTATCCTGTGCCAGGCACCCGTTGGGCGCTGTGTGGGTGCCCGGAGCAGCCTCCCTGCTGGCTCCTGGGGAGGCACAGGGCACGGGGCTGTGAGCCCGTGCTTCCCTGGAGCATCCTCCTTCAGGCTGCACTGGCACGGGGCTGTGAGCCCCTGCTTCCCTGGGGCATCCTCCTTCAGGCTGCACTGGCACGGGGCTGTGAGCCCCTGCTTCCCTGGGGCATCCTCCTTCAGGCTGCACTGGCACGGGGCTGTGAGCCCCTGCTTCCCTGGGGCATCCTCCTTCAGGCTGCACTGGCACGGGGATGTGAGCCCCTGCTTCCCTGGGGCATCCTCCTTCAGGCTGCACTGGCACGGGGCTGTGAGCCCCTGCTTCCCTGGGGCATCCTCCTTCAGGCTGCACTGGCACGGGGATGTGAGCCTCTGCTGCTCCCCTCTGCATCCTCCTTCAGGCTGCACTGGCACGGGGATGTGAGCCTCTGCTGCTCCCCTCTGCATCCTCCCTCTGGCTCCACTGCCATGGGAAGGGGGTGGCCGGAAAAGGTGGAGAAAACAGGCAGAGAAAATCTGTGTGCTTGAACAGGCTTTTCCTAGAGAGAGCCTTTTCATGCCTTTTCATGAGAGAGGAATTTCGTGCCCTTGCTATCAAGGCAGGACTCTAAAATGGGTGGCCTTGAGAAAACAAACAACGCTGTGCATTAAATTCAGTGGGCTGAGAAGAATTCCATGAGCCCGGGAGCCCGTGTGATGAGTTTCTGCATACAGGGCTGTGGTGAGACACGATCTGTGTCCCTCTGCAGCAAAGAGCTGGTTCATGCGATGGTGGCAGCGGCCAGTGGGGCTTTGGGGGTCACGGGCAGATGGCCAGCATGGGGGCCAGGCTGTCAGCCAGCACCTCTT